TGTGTGTGTGTGTGTGTGTGTATATATATATACACACACACACACACACACACACACACATATATATATATATACACACACAGACATATAATAATCAAGATCCCAGAAACCCAACAGAAGAACAAAATACTACAAGCAGTAAGAGAAAAGAAACAACTCACATGCAAAGGAAAGTCCATCAGAATCACAGCAGACTTTTCAACACAAACCCTTAGGGCAAGGAGAGCCTGGAGTGAGATATTTCAAGTACTAAAAGAGAACAACCTCCAACCTAGACTGATAATATCCTGCAAAACTCTCTTTCAAAATGGATGGGGACCTAGAATGTACCAATAAATTCAATTTAAAATTTTAAAAAATCATCAAAAAGTTGAATAATTTAAAATAAACTTACACTCAATGTCATGCAAAAAAAAAAAAAAATGGATGGGGAAATAAGATACTTCCAGGACAAAGAACACTTGAGAAACTACATGAATACCAAACCAGCACTACAAGCAATTCTAAACAAGATCCTAGAAAAAGACAGTGAAGGGAACAACACTGTGAGGTCCAACAGAGCAAATCAAATAAGCAAGGCAAGAAACTAAAAGGAGATGGTGAAAAAGTAAAAAGAGTCAACAAAAGGCCAATAACATGTCAATAATAAGTCAGTACATATCAGTTATAACCATCAATGTCAATGGCCTCAACTCACCAATCAAGAGAAATAGACTGGCAAAATGGGATAAGAAGCAAAATCCAACAATATATTGTATACAAGAAACACACCTAGTGCAAAAAGAAGCCCATAGACTGAGGGTGAAAGGATAGAAAACAATTCTTCTTGTGACAGGAGCCCAGAAAAAAGCAGGGGTAGCAATCATATTTGCAGACAAAGCAAATTTCAAACCAAAACTGATTCTAGTATTATAGATGTAGTCCGGTACTGTATCATACCTCTGTGAATGTAAAATATCTTGTACCTGCTTTATGATAAGTAGTAGTGCTTTATCAGAGCTATTTTTAATGATATTACTCTAGAATGTTCTCTTTCCAGATGATGATTAAGATGCTAAAAATAAATAAATAAATAAATGGTGCCAGGGACCACAATAGCAACAGAACTTTGCTGTTTTCTGGATACTATTCTTTTCTTTGTTTTTTTGTTTGTTTGTTTGTTTGTTTTAATGGAATGTGCTGAATGTCTCTAATTTTGTTCAGATGATTGGAGAACCTGGAAAAGCTGTTGCTGCTATTGATGCATAACATACTGCTATTGTTGGTCTTTATATATAACATATATATAAAATTTGAATTTTTGGAAGCTTTAACTGTGCTGTCAACTTTGGAAAAAGTTATCCCAATTTACTGTGTTGAGTTGGCATTGTACAGAAATGGACAGCCATATTGGTGTAGAAATGTTAATTTATTTTTATTTTTATTTTTATTTATTTATTTTTTCCATTTGTACAGGGGTAACACACTGTATTAAATATGTAAGGTCATATCTATGTGGGTTTGATTACAGAAATTAATAAAGTATTCTCTAATGAAAAAAAGAATAAGATAAGACTACAAGAGCAAGAAGCAATTTAAATATGTTCAGGGACCATTTTCGTCTTCTGAATTAAGGATTATTTTAATCTTACATCATTGTCTTTTCTCTTTTACTTTCCTTTTTAGTTCTATTTTAGGATTCTCTATTTTTAATGTTCATACATAGATTTCTTTAACTGAAATACCAACCAAATAGTTTTTCTGGTGTGAGAAACTATAATAGTACACAGGATCCTAATGAGATAATTAATAATGTGAAATAGGAAGTAAAGGGTAAAGGTGGGGGAAAGGTAATACAGGAGAGGAAAAAATATGAGAAATTGAAAAAATGGAAATAAAGTGTTTGTAAATGGGGAGGGGAGGAGGGGGTGAAGGGAGGGCAGGGACAAGGGGGAAAAATGAGAATCAAGACCTATCATGTAAAGGTACAGGATCCCAATAATGAATGTAACTGTATTGTATACTTAGATTGTACCAATAAACTCAATAAAAAGAAAAAAATATATAAAAAAAAGAAAGAAGGGGCCATTTAAAAGAATCACCATCTTTGGTGTTTCCAGATACAAATAAGTCACTTAATCAAATATCAAGAATTTTTTTAACTTATTTAATTACTTATTATTATTACTTATTTAAATGTAATGCCATAAGTGCTTGCTGAGATGAAGAATGTTGTAGGTAGTTACTTTCTTGTTGCTAAGGCAATACCTGACTCCAACAAACTAGAGGAAAAGGAAAGGTTTATTTTGACTCACAGTTTGTAGAGGTTTTAGTCCATAGTCTGCTAGCTCCAAGGCAGAGGAGGGCTATGTAGCAGGAAGCAGAGACTTGGAGGGGGGAATATACCCTTGCCACGCCCCCAGTGACTCACCTCCCCTGACCAGACTTCACCTCCCAACATCACATTTAGCTAGAATTCCATCAGTGGATGAACCCTCTGGTGAGAATCAGGCTCCCACGCTGCATTCACCTCCCAGAAGCCCCACTTGTGAGCACATGTGTCTTTGCAGGACATCTATAGACATAAACCATAACAGGACACCCTGGCCCCAAAAGACTCAATTGCATTCCTTTATGTAAATTGCATTTAGTCTGTCTCTAAGAGTTGCCAAAGTTCAAACAGTTGAAGCGTTCCTGAAACGCCTGAATCAAAATCTCACCTCTGATTTAGCTGTGAGCGCCTATGAAAATCACGAAGAAAGTTAAGCACTGCTGTTACGTGAAAGCACAGTATAAATATTCCCAATCCAAAAGAGAGAAATAGGCAGATAGAAAGGAATGATATCAAAGCAAGACTGAAATCCAGCAGGGCAAACACTAAATCCCATAGTTCTATGTTCATCACTGGTAACAATCTGGCAAGTTGTAAACTCAGAGGTCTTGGGTGGCCCTGCCCTTAAGGCACTGCTGGTGGTGTAATCCTGAAGACCTCTCTCTTAGGCTGGCGTTACTCACACCTTGCAGCTTTCCTCAGGTGACCCACATTCCTGGCTTTTCCAACATCTTGGGGTCTCCTCTGCACCTTTGGCTTCATACTCACAGCTTTTCACACTGCCATCTCTGAGCCACACCGTCTGGCCTCCCTTGCTTTCTTCTGAAATCTAGGTGGAAACCTTCCTGACCCCATGACTTTTGCATTCTGCATGTGCCTAAAACCAACACCACATGGATGATGCTAATGTGTGTTGCCAGCTAGAGCAGTAGCTGACTCCCTTTGCATCTTGCTGGTGGTTGCAGAGGCCTCTTGAGTACCTGGATGGCTGATCCTTGAGCTGCATCGTGGAGAATCAGTTCTCATTCCTTGACTGCCAACATTCTGGAGCATGGTGCCTTGGAACTCTCTTCTTAATGCAGCTTCTCAGTATTGCAATTTTGAGCCTGTATAGGGTAGAGCATTGCTTATTCCTCACAATTCCCTCAAGGCATTTTTCCTGTTAATCCTCTTCCAAAGTTCTTGGCTTCTTTTTAATGCTAATATTTCCAGCAACCAAGTTCTCCTCTTTGTCTTTAGAAGAGCTTCCTTTCTGGCCAAACTTAAAACTGTACATCATTCTGCAGGGTTTTGCGCTTGATTTACAACACAGAAGTGGCTAAAAGCTCCCAACAATACTACAAACTGAATGTTTGGCTGCCTTGAAATTTCCTTTGTCAGATTAATTACTTTTTTTTGCCTTTAATCTCAATCTCCCTTGAAGTCTCTGAGCATGAAAAAATTGTAGAGAAATTTTCTGCCAGAGGCCAGAGGGAGCATAACACATGTGGCCTGTAGTCTTTTTTTCCCAATTGAAACATTCTAAGCATGCTTTTTTCTGGCTGCATTGCTGTCAGCATAACCTTCTGGGCTCTGACCAGAATCAACTCAGCTCACAGCCTTCTGGGGCTCCCTTCTCCAGCTGGCAGCACCAAACCTTTTTATTTTATTATTATTATTATTATTTTTTTTTTTTTTTTTTAGCACCAGATGTTTTTAAACTCCTCCAGCAAACTAAAGGCTCTGAACCACATGATCAGGTAGTCACAGCAATAACTTAACTTCACTGGTACTGAAATTTATCTGTTACTTTCTCATCTCTGAGTCACAATACCTGATACCTGAAAATTAAAGGAGAGGTTTATTTTGGCTCACAGTTTGTAGAATTTTCAGTCTGTAGTCCACTGACTCCAAAGCAAGATAGCATAGCAGAAGAAAAGTACCTTCGTGGCATGGCAGCAGGAAGCAGAGACATCAGGTGTGGGAGTGGGGGCATGGATGTACCCTTCTGTGCCACACCCCAGTGACCCACCTCCAACCAGGTTCCAACTCTCAACATCACAGCTAGCTATAAACTCATTGGGGGACTCATCACTGATAACCGTCACAGCCCCATGATCCAGCCACCTCCCAAAAGCCCACCTATGAGCATGTGAGGCTTTTAGAGGGACATCTAATGATAAGCCTTGACAAATAACACGGTCCATTGTATCTGTGACAGAGCGCTGAAGTGGGTGGGAATGAATAGACAGACCTGTGACTGCCGCCTTTCAATAGCTTTGAGATCTGGAAGCAGCCCTCAGTTTTCTTCCCCTGTGACTATCTCAGTTGTCTAAAAGGTGCAGATTATCCCAAGCATCCCTTCCGCACTTGCTGGAAATACTCCCTTGTACTAAGGAATGGTATCTCATTTTATAGCTAACATAACTAAGATAGTGAAGCTGGTGTATATATCTGTGTATGTGTGTGTGTGTGCCTATATATATACCTAGATATGGTTTTTTGTTTGTTTGTTTTTGCAGTACTGGGGATTAAATTCAGGACCTTGCACTTCTGAGGCAGGCACAGTACCACTGAACTAAACCCCTGGCCTGAAGCTGGTTTATATTTATTTGTTTGTTTGTTTTGTTTTTTTGAGACAGGGTTTCACTATGTAGTTGAAACTGACCTGGAACTCACTATGTAGCCCAGGCTAGTCTCGAACTCACAGCAATCCTCCTGCCTCAGCCTCCCAGGTGCTGGGATTACAGCTGTGCACCACCACGCCCAGCAATATTTAAACAGTCATTTTTATCATTTATTCATCTTGTCATTAAGTACTTCTGTGTTTTATGCTTAGGGAATAGTAGGCTCCATGTTCCTGTGCTATATTTATAACACTGAATAGATCTTAGGTATAGTAGCAATGGGGAAAAAAAATCATATGTTGAAATGAAAATAATTTGTAAATGCTAATAAACAATAAGGATTATTGCTTAATTATTATTTTTGCCAAATATTTAAATTAAGGAAATAAACTATGAACTACAATAAGTTATGAAATTTATTTTAGGTTTAAAGTCTAGGTATTAGCAAAGGAATAGAAAAAGTTAATATATAAATGTAGTCTTGGATGTACTTTTTAAAGATAAAAGTAAAGAGGTAAACAAGATGAAGTTTGAGGTACTGCCTTGTATTTCTTTTTATAATGCAAGAACAGAGAAAACTTTCTGAAATTCTGTGTTCACAGAGCTAGTCATTAGTTAAAGTATGGTTGATGAGAGGTGTTGGCCGATAATATTGCTGATTAAACATGGCCTACAGCCTATTCAGTGTAGGCATTTGTGAAATTAAGCATATTTGCATTACCAGGTAATTTCATTGTTTGTTACTATCATAAAAATCTAGGGAGACAAAAAAAAACCTACAGAATTCTTACCCATCCAATTCTGTGTTAATAGGAATAGATGTCCAAATAGTAACAAATGGCACAAATAATAAAAAATCATAAATTCTTACTGGAGACGTCAACTAATTTTGTGAGTTTTCCAATAATGTAGACTTTACATATTAAATTTTTGAGACATATAAGAAGAATGCTTTCTTGGAGTCACCCTTATATTATTTAAACATTAGTATATACTTATAAAATTTTATGTCAACCAAAATTTAAATGTTTAGCTCTGTTTATAGTTGCAGGCATATTGGCAGAAATAATTTCTAATAGCTAAATTCTAATTGGATATTTCTCCATTTAAGGAGCTTTCTATCCATGAGATTAGTGCTACTCAAAGTATGGTTCAGAAACTGGATGTAGTGCTTATTACTTATCTCTGACAAATCAAATACAAAAAATATTTAGCTTTTAGAAACTTTTAACAATAGGACATTTCATTTACTGTAGTTTATGAAAGTATCAGTCTGGGGCAGGAGATGTAGTTCAGTGGTAGAGAAACTGCTTGCTTTGTAAAGGTCTCCAGATTACAAAAAAAAAGTTGAAGTTAAAACAAAGAATTAGTTTAGGAGCCGAGATTTAGCTCAGTGATTCCACCGCCTACCTTGCAAGTACTAGGTCCTGAGTTCAATCCCTGGTACCAAAAAAAAAAAAAAAGGCAAAAACAAGACTTAGGGGTTGGGCCAGGGATGTGCTGTTGACTCCCTGACAAATGCAAGGTCCTGAGTTTGATCCCCAGTAGTAGAAAAAAAAGAAACAACACTTAGAGAAAGCTGGGTCTTGGGCTGATCGGTGCTGCACTGGGCAGCAAAGATAAGGGTCACCAAAGGCACCCGGTGTCCTATTGACTACAAGCTTGGGAAGGCAGGAAAGGTGTGCTTTGAAGACATCTAGCTGCACAGTGTGAAGCATCCGGAAGCAACTGGCAGTGGCGGAGCAGGCAGGAATATCTGATATGCAGGCAGGGATGTAAAGGGGAAAGGCACTGCTTGTCTTGCTTGGAGAGATCAAAGGGTGCTGGAACTGGGTTGCAGTTAACCAGAGTCTGCTAATACTAGGCAGAGTTGTCTGCTACACTATTAGTTTCCACAAGAAATATTTCTAGCATCTGTATAACATTTGTAGTCAGAATACAATTTGTATCTTTTGTGTCAAGTTCCTCATGCTATGTTTAATATGTTTTGTTTTAGGTGAAGCGTCTCCTGAAGTCATGCCACAGCATAAAGAAAGAATGTCTTCTGTCACTCATAGTCCAGAAATAATGGATTCGCTGGAGCTACGGCCATTTTCCAAACCTGAAGTAGCACTGACAGAAGCACTGAGGCTTTTAGCTGATGAGGATTGGTAAGTTAACCATCCTTCAGTGAAAGCTAAATTCCAAAATGATTTTACAGATTTCTTATTAAATGCCTTGAAACGCATTTCCTATTAACATAGTGTTAGAAAAGATTGTTTTAGCTCCCAGGCATTGAGTCTTTGAACTTACTGAACTTCCTGACTTAGCTGAATTTGAATACACCTGTATTACTAGTTACATGATAATAACTTATGCACCATAAGGACAGAATTTCATTCTATAATGGATTACGCAAACTCTTTGGTATTGGAATATAGATTTTACCGTTTCCCAATTATGGTGCCAGTAGAGAAAATCTCCTGGAATTCTATATATTGATGCCGTGTAGCTTCATATTTAAATTGTCAGTGCATGGTAAAACAGGTATTTATCCACACTATATGTTATTTCTCTGTAGAATAGACTATAACAATCCTCAAGTGCTTGTGTGCTCTCACTGCAGCTTCAGCATCCACCCAGCCAGCCCAGCCAGTAGCGCAAGGAAGACAAAAGAAGACAGTAATAACATATGCCCCACTTGTTTTAACTGGAACATCTACAGGCTGGCCTGTCTCACCTTCTCCTCTGTTCCTTCAGTGTCTATATTAGTCCCATCCCATTCTTCACCCTCAGTTTTGCCTCTGCTTAGTCATATTCACCACCATAAAGATATATTATAGGGCTAGGGCTGTAGCTCAGAGGCAGAGCACATGGGTAGCCTGTGTGAGGTCCTGGGTTTGATCCCCAGGATGGGGGTGAAAGTGCTGTAATTTATATTTCCTGTTTTTAGAAAACTTCGCTAAACTGAACATCTTTTTCCACATCTCCCTTCCATCTCTCCTTTTTTAAACTGAAGTTCTCAGTTCTCTGTACTTCCTGATTTCTTTTCATCTGTTGGGCTTCCAGATTAGGAATTCTGTACTGTCTAATGCTGCTGTTCTCTAATCTATATTCATTCTATAGGTCAGGGACGATCTTTCACTGGCAATCTTTGTCTATAAAGAGCAAATAATAAATATTTATGGTTGTCAATGCTCTGCTCTGCTGTTTGTAGTGCAACAGCAGTCTTAGTGTAAACAGTTGGGCATGACTGTGTTCCATCCAATCCATTTTTACATACAGAAATTTTCCTCATAAAATCTTCGGACAGGGCCACATTTGCTCCCAGAAGCGTGGTTTGCTAAATAAACCTTTTTGTTAAAAAAGATGTGTCAAGTGCAGTAGCTTTAAATTCTGTCCTTTCTCTGTTCTCATAAATGTATAGCTGGGTCCCTGGCATCTTCTTGAGCTCAAGACTCAAGAAGAAATCCAAATGCCTGCATAATAACACTTTTTACTTGAGTTCCAGTAGAGAGTTTCAATTTCACTTATCCAAAAAAGAACTTAAAGTTAACTTCCTGTCACCTTGGATTAATAGGGACTTGATTTGCCCTCAGACTTGAAAGAAATTTTTTAGAAGGCTTACAAAATATGTGCAACAAAGTTTTCAAGATACTGTTCACACTAGTCAGTGAGAGATGATGGTTGCTGAGAGACAGAAAACAAGCGAGGTAAGACCTGTAATTGTCCCACTTACTTCCTAGAGAGAGTTTCAGGTCCCTGCTCATATTGGGGAAAAACAGACAAACACTGATGGAGATGGCATTAGAGCTGGGAATTTTGGAGGCTAGGGTGGCTAGCATTTGTAAGACTGAATGTCAGTGGTAAAAGCTCCACCATGGACTCCAGAGAGCTTCAGAGGATTCTGCTCAGCCATTCAGCTGAGTACTGGTCAGGGCAGCCGTGTGAACAGAGTGCGTAAGGCCGGAAGAAGATACAGTGGAAAATTTTAGAAAGTTACAAGGATTAACCCCTGGAGCATATACAAGGTCCAGAATACGTCCTGTTCCCACTAGGAGACTGAAGAATTTCATAACTCACAGGACATTGGATAGAATACTCAGGAGAGTTTTGCCTTATTAGTGTGGTAGGATAAACCCTGAACTAGGGTTGTTTTGGTCCCACTTAACAAAGTTGAAAAGCAAGGCCTGAGAGAATCAAATTGTGTCCACACAACTACATCTCAAGACAAAGATCAAGGACATTTACAGGGATAAGTGGCTGGGTATGGTGATGTGATGCATGCCTTAATCCTAGCACTCAGGAGGCTGAAACAGGAGGAATCATGGCAAGTTTGAGATTAGGCAGAGCCTGCCTAGTGAGTTCAAGACTAGCCTGAACTGTATAACATGACCCTTTCTCAAATAAAATTATAAGAATAGAAAAATATCTAAAGTGAAATTTACAGTGTCTGAATCCTATAAGACATTACCAAGCATACAAAGCAAGAAAATAAAACTCATAAAAATGCAGACTTTTGAAACCCATTCCAAAATTACACAGAGAGATTTAGAAGATAAATACACTATATCTCTATCCCACATCTTAAACCAAAGAAAGACTGGGCAAGTAAAGACTTGTAAAACATTTAAGACACCCAAATCTGATATGTACAGGTAAAAACAACAATATCTGAATCAAACATGATACTGTGTGCCTATAGTCCCAGCATTCAGGAAGCTGAGACGGGAGGATCACAAATTCCAGGCCAGCCAGGGTTACATAGCAACACCCTGTCTCAAACAAGATAAAAACTACAATATCTGAGACCAGAAATAGACCAACTGAAGTTGACAGATTAGGCATTGCAAACAAATCTGAAGATAGCCATAGAAACTATCAAAAATTAAAGAAGACTGAAAAGGACACATATTGCAAAGACACACAAATCAGTGAACTGTGGTGTAGCTTAAAGCAGCATAATAGAAACATGACTACAGTTGTCAGAAAGAGGGGTCAAAAAAAGAATATCTGTAGAAAAAAATACAAGTTTGGTGGGGGATTTAGCTCAGTGATGCAAGCACAAGGTCCCAAGTTTGATCCCTGGTGCCAGAAAAACAAACAAAAAAATAGAAAAAGTTTATATTTGATGAAAATATTAAGCCACATATCCATAACACTCAATAAACACCAAGCACAAAAACTATGAAAAAAATCGCAAGGGACATACATCAAAATTAAATTACTGGGCCAGTGATGTAGCTCAGTGGCACCACACCTTCCTGGCAAGTACAAGGTCCTTAGTTTGATCTCTGGGTACAAAAAATAAATTAAATTACTTAAAATCAGTAAGAGAATATCTTTGAAGCATTCAAAAAGTGTTACACACAAATATAAAACATAAGACTTCTCATAAAAATCACTGCAAGCCAAAAAGCAGTGGAACAAGATCTTCTAGATCTTGAAAGAAATGCTTTTTTTTTAGACCTACAAAATTTAAAGACTTCATCACCAGCAGACCTGCATTACAAGAAAGTTAAAAGGTCTTCAGACAGAAAGAATATAATCTGAATCAATGCTAAGGAAGAAACAAAATGGAAGTGGTAACTACATGGATAACCATGAAGTTTTTTTTGTTTTTTGTTTTTTGAGACAAGGTTTTGCTTTGTAGTTCAGGTGGGCCTTGAACTCACTGTGTAGTCCAGGCTGGCCTCAAACACATGATGATCCTTCTGCCTTAGCCTCCTGGGTGCTGAGATTATAGGCATGCGCCACCATGCCTGGTTTACAAAGTTCTTTAAAAGTTATCTAATGTTGCCGGGTGTGATGGTGCACACCTGTAATCCCAGCACTCGGGAGGCTGAGGCAGGAGGATCACTCTGAGTTTGAGACCAGCCTGGGCTACATAGTGAGTTCCAGGTCATTCTCAACTACATAGTGAGACCCTGTCTCAAAAAAAAAAAAAAAAAAAAAAAAAGTTATCTAATGTTTAACATGTCAGCTGGGGATTTAGCTCAGTGGCACTGCCCTTGCCTTGTAAGACCAAGGTCCTGAGCTCATTCCCTGGTACTGCAAAAAAAAAATTAATATATTGGGGGGTTTATAACGTATAGAAATAAAGATGTATGACAATAATACAGAGGCCTAGAGGGAGAAATGAAAGTATTGTAGTAGATAAGTAAGTAGATAGGTAGGTAGGTACAGACAGCAAAATGATACATCAAATAACTCACTTCATGGTAATTTAGACACATGCTATATACTTAGCAATTGCTAAAATTGCACAACAGTTGTTAATAAGGCAACAAAAGAAAAATGTAATTATGAAAATTCTCAATTTAAAAGTGTCAGGAAAAAGAAACAAAGGTGAGACACATACAGCAAAGTCAAATTAGTTCATTTAACTAGTCATATTAAATGTACATGAACTAAATGTCCAATGAGATTACATTAAAAACATCAAGACCCAACCATGTGCTACCTATAAAAATTTCACTTTAAATATATAGGCACACATAGATTAATAGTAGATTTAAAAAGATGTTCACCCTGCTGCCAAGTGTGGTGAGGCATATGTATCATCCCACCTTCTTGGGAGGCTGAGGCAGGAGATCACATCTGAGAAGCATCCAGAAAGGAAAACTCCTTAGCCACCCAAGTGCACTACCGTGTCTGGTGTACTGTACTGTACTGTGTTGTACGTATTATATTGCATTGCACTGTATTATATCATATTACTTATTCACTCAGTTGCCCAGACTGGGCTCAAATTCATGATCCTTTTTGCCTCAGCTTCCCAAAGTATTGGGGTTATAGCATGCACCACCATGCCCAGCTTCTGTAGATTCTTTTGGTTTTCTTTTTAATACTTACATGTTATTCATTTTGTTTCTGACTTGCATATTTTCCAACTTGGAAATTTTCTATAATTTTTATCTTTTGGTTTTTTTTTTCAGCTTTAATTGAGTTTATTGGTACATTTTAGGGATACAGTACAGTTATCTTTGTTTTTATATGTATTTTGTCTTCTTTTCTGCGGCATCTTTTAAGAATATTCTCTAACACTCCTTTTGGCAGTTTGATTGTGATGAACCACATATAGTATTCTGTGGTCTGTTTTACTTTGCTTGTTCTTACATCTGAAGAGTTTAGTTTTGATCAAATTCAGAAAGTTTTCAGCCACCATGTATTAGTTTCTTTTTCTGTCTTCTTCCTTCTTGACTTTGCTTTCTCTTATATTCTGATTATGTGTATAGAATCGGTTGCTTCAGTGTCTAAATTGTGACAGTAAAATATTTTATTCAATCCAAAAAATGAAAAATTTGAGGCAGGGTGCCACTAAATGTCCTTGCCATCTTGAACTCTCTGGGTTTCTTTTACTACTTTGCAAAACTTGTTTGGCAAATTTAAATACCTTTTTTAAAATGACTACATGCAATATTACCAAATAAGAGAACTCTTAGCTCATATTTTGCAAACCTACAAGATGAAAACCATCAAGTTTGAAATATTACTCCTAAATCCCAGCTGAATTCTACCCTCTTGTAGGTATCCACCTACTCTTCATCTGGCTTATTAGGTCCAATACTAAAAAATAAATACAAGTTATAAAAACAGGTAATGGTGGTTTACTATTCTTCCAACTTTTCTTTTTCTAGTTTTAATATTATCTCGACCTTTATCATATTTTTTTTTAATTTTATTGAGTTTATTGGTACATTTTAGGTATACAGTACAGTTACATTCATTGTTGGGATCATGTACCTTTACATGGCTATCATATTTTTTTAATCCATCTACTGTCTAGAAAGAATCTTGTATTTATACAAAGGGAGAAATGTTTATTTCATTACAATAATGAATTTAGTTTGACTGTTAGTAGTGATTTATCTTAAAAGATATTTACATGGGACTGGGGATTTAGCTCAGTGGTTCCACCACCTGCTTTGCAAGTGCTAGGTCTGGAGTTCAATCCCTAGTTCCACACACACAAAAAAAGATGTTTACATGTATTCTGATTTTTTTTTTTTTTTAGATTCCTGAATAAAAGAAGGTAGAAAAGGTCTCCTCATTGGCAGTATTCTACATGTTAAAAAAAAAAAATTGAGAAGCTGTTTCTGTTGAACTCTATTTAATAAATGATTTTGTCATTTCTTTATTGCACAGGGAGAAGAAAATTGAGGGACTGAATTTTATTAGATGCTTAGCTGCTTTTCATTCTGAGATACTGAACACTAAGTTGCATGAAGCAAATTTTGCAGTAGTTCAAGAGGTAAATTTTTTAGATAATTTAAGGATTATTTGAATAAAAAGAATAAATATACCATACTTATTTGACCTTTAAAACTTTTAAACATCTCTGTATTATATGATGAGTCGTTATGTATAGAAAGTAGCCCATGTCTTAATTTGCTACACTTCTAAAAAATTATTAGATGCTGATTTTTAGAATGTAAGCTAGTACATAATAAATAGATTGCTTTAATGCAAATTCTCTTTCCAAAGTTGTTTTTACTGGGGTTTTTTTTTTCAGAATATCAGCAAAATTATGTTTTGAAAAAATTTTTTAGGTGAAAAATTTACGCTCTGGGGTTTCTCGCGCCGCTGTGGTCTGTTTAAGCGATCTTTTCACTTATCTGAAAAAGAGCATGGATCAAGAACTAGATACAACGGTCAAAGTGTTGTTGCACAAGGCTGGAGAATCGAATACATTTATAAGAGAGGATGTTGACAAAGCATTGAGAGCTATGGTTAACAACGTCAGTCCTGCACGTGCAGTCATTGCTCTCATCAGTGGAGGGCAAAGGTAATGTTCAGAGTAATTTTGAAATGTCCTTGAACTAAACATTGTCTGTGCTCCTGGTTATGGTGGGGGGAGCATATTTCAGTCCAAAAGCCTTAATTCCTATGTGATAAGGGTCATACTGCATGCTCAGCATAAAAAGAATCATAATATTGTTATTCTAATAATACTACTTACATCATAAGTCTTGAACTAAATAAATGTTCTTGATTATGAGTTTTGTCTTTAACTTCTTAGGAAGGGATAATTAATGCAAATAATTGATCGTTTTTGCCTCCCAGGGTGGTTGCTGAAAAGCTGTTTAATCATTAAAGATCGATCTTTGGTAACAGTTCATATATTGATTTAGTTTAAATGGTCGTGTTTCCTTATAGCCATTTGCACATTGCAGTAAGAAGATGTACAGCCCAGCACTTATCAGATATAGTAGAATTTATGGAACCAGAGCGTATTTTAACTGGAACAAAAGATATGGCTGAACGTTTATTACCAGCTGCTGCTAAGTTTGCTCAGGATAGCTCACAAGAAACCAGGTAAATAGCTGCCAGTAATACTTGCTAAGTCAATTAATATAAGGGCTGAGGTGTAGGGAACAAAGGTTGAAAGCAAATGAACATTTTTCTAAATGGAGACTTAGGGTCCCAGGATTGGTGCTGGGGGATGGTCTTATTTAACCAGTAGGTAAATAAATGATCTCGAGGGAGCACGCAGTGAATTCTCCACATTTACAGATGACACTACATACTTCTGGGTAGTGAGATGCCAAGTCACAGGGATGAACTTCAGGAAAACGACACAAGACTGTATGAGTGGGCAGCAAAATGGCAGAAGAACTCCATTGTGGGCAAATGTCAGGTAATCTATTTGGAGGAAAGTGATATTTTTCCAAGCGATCAGATAAAAATCAAGGAAACAGGAACACATGAAAAATACAGAAATAATGCATAACAACATTATCCTCTGAGAAATGAAGGGAAACTCCATGAATTTCTGATGGTTGTTCTTAAGGTCTGATGGTTGTCAGAAGCCTGTGTTAAATTCCTCATATACATCACCATTTGCCCTTAAGCAAGACACTTAATCTTTGGTAATCCCAGTTGTCTGTAAAATTAGGAAGCTTAGGCCAGGTGACCAGGAATATGTCGTACAAAATCTATTTGTCATATAGAATCTTTCATAGCAATAATATATGGTGATAATTTTTAAAAGGGGGAAGAAGGATCCCAAGTTAATAAATAAAGAGAGGGCAGGGACAAGGGGAAAAAATGAGAACCAAGACCTGTCACATAGAGGTACAAGATCCCAACAATGAATGTAATGTACTGTATCCCTAAAATGCACCAATAAACTCAATTAAAGCTAAAAAAAAAAAAAAAAGAAGACTAAAATCAGTAATATTTTCAGACAGATATCTGTTATTTTAGGTAACTGGGGTAATCTTGTGGGACTCCTTCCACCAAAAGCTAATGCAGAAGGTAAATGTGTTTGTTTTCTACTGCTGTGTAACAAATCATCACAAATGCTAGTAACTTATGGCAACATAAATTATTTACCTCCTGTTCTTTAGGTCAGAGTTCTGGCATGGATCAGTTGGGTTTCCTCAGTGGGGACCTAGAAGGCTGAAGTCAGAGTGTAACAACAGCAGTCCTAGACTCTTACTTAGAGACTCTGTGGAAGCATTCACTGGCAGACTTACTCAGATGATTGGCCAAATTCGGTTCAGTGTGATTATAGGACTGGAGTCCTGGCTTAGTGCCTTGGATCACCCTCATTCCTTCTGGTGTTGCCCTCCTGCATCCTCAAGCCAGCCTGATGTCTTCAAGTTTCTCTCAGGCCTACAATCTCTGACTTCCTCCTCTATCCCCAGCCACAGAAAGCTCTCTCTCCTTGTATGGGCTTCAGTGTTTCAATTAGATTAGGCTCATTCACATCATCTCTTTGTCTTAAGTGGTATAACCCCATGAGTAAGTAATACATCATCTTCACAGATTCTAGGGATTTGAGTAAAACATTTTGTTTGTTTAGTTTTGTTGAGTTGAGACAGGATCTCACTCTGTAGTCCAGGCTCACCTTGGACTCATTATGTAGCCTAGGCTGGCCTCAAACTCCTGGCAGTCCTCTTGCCTCAGCCTCCCAAGTGCTGGAATTACAGGCGTGTGCCAACATCGGAGGCTTGAGTAAAAGAGTTTCAGAAGTTCTGTAATCACTTTCATGTTCAAAAGAATTCGGGAAGGGTCAGATCATAGACTACATTAGTTATCAACAACAAGTGAGGACCAGAGCACCATGCCTGCCTGGCAAGTGCAAGGTCCTGAGTTTGAATCCCAGTGTGGGGTGGGGTGTCTTCATATTTGTTTTGTGTCCATTTTTTTGGTGGTGATGGTGGTGGTAGTGGTAGTGTTGGGAATTAAACCCAGTGCCTCTCACAACCAGGCAACACTATATACCGTTGAGCTGTACTCCCAGCCCCTACTGTCTTTAATGGCACAGTAATTCTGATTTGTTTTGTCTTTTGTTTGATTCAAGTTTTTAATTATCAGATAGTTACATTTAATTTTTGAGTTTTATTTTTTATATTTACTGTCCCTATTGTTGGCATACTTGTTTGTTTTACCCTTTCACATATTGCTAGATAATGTGGTATACCTTAATATTCTAAACTAAAAATTACAGTTGTCTTTGAATATAACTCATTAGAAGCTACTTACCTGAATAGTCATGGGAAAAGTTAATGTTTATTCTCTGCTACCACCTACCTGTCTGAAATTTCATTACACTTTGAGGGATGTGGTTGATTGTAACTTTGTTCTATCCTACTCCCCCAGAGCTTGTCTTCTCATTCCTCTTAGCACCATATGTTCCAAATTATCAGAAAAAGTATAATTTATTTTAGGGCCAGACTTCCTTAAAGGAGAGACTGTGTAAGGATCTCTGTCTGAAAATATCTTCAGTATGTACTTCCATGATATCTGAATATCTACCATTAGAGTGATGTTTTGGCTTAAAATTTTATCCTTGGCGGATTTTTAAAAAATTCACATGACATGAAAATTCTGGTTTGGAGATGTTTATATCGTTTAATAACATCAACTACAATTTACCCAATCTTGTCTCTTTTAAGTAATAGAGAATAGGACTTTGAAGAATTGGAACCCAGGTAAGTTTTACTTAGGGAAGAGAAGAGGGGTGGTCAGAAAAACAAAACATAGGAAGGCTGACTTGGGCCAGAACATTTAGCCAGCAGGTACACAACAAGAGATCAGTGGGTAAGGAACCCAGAACAAAGAAGGCTTCTCCTAATTCACAATTCTGCCAAATGCTGCCAGTCATGAATATGGACCCAAGTGTGCCTGAAAAATAGTCAGATCTCTTTGTTGTCCATCTGACACATGACTGAAAGATCTAGGCTACCTTTGACTGTAAAAGGAGACAAATAGGGGAGCAGGATAATCTTATGCCCTCTATTACCACTAGTGTATACACATTTCAGTGGCTTACTTGAAGTGGGATTGTAATCTTAATATGAATGCTTTTTCTCCTATTGAAAAAAAATTTCATCTAGGGTTGGGATTTAGCTCAGTGGTTCCTCTGCCTGCCTCACAAGCACAAGGACCCAAGTTCGATCCCTGGTACAAAAAAAAAAAAAATTGCATCTAAGGGCAGAAATTAAACTTGGTAATACATGTAAATTCATTTACATATTTCTCAAATATCTGTAGGTATTATGGTCGAAAGATGCTTTTCCTTATGATGTATCATCCTAACTTTGAAAGAATGCTTGAAAAATATGTCCCATCTAAAGATTTGCCATATATTAAGGAATCTGTTAAAAACTTACGGCAAAAGGTATGTAGAATTTTTTATACGAACAACTTTAAAAGCACATTTATTTTCCCATGAAGGCAAAAGATAGAAATAATTGCTTCTGAGATTATTTCTTTTCTAATCATTTGGAACACATCTACATTAGTATTTCAACAACTGCGGTACTATGTAGACTTATGCGGTATCAGGCTTTGAAAGTAAATATTTATTGCTGTTCTGGGGATTAAACCCAGGGCCTCACAACATGCTAGGCAAGTGCTCTACCACGAAGTCGCGCCCTTAGTCCCCAAAACAATGTTTTCAACAGTTTATTTTAAGGAGTCAATATATAATTTCCTGTTACATATTTGTTAGTTTACTACTAACCACAAGACAGTTCATGCGTCCAGTACCCTTTAAAGCATGTGTATCAGATTGTTAAAATATTTAAAATGTTATCAAGCTGCCTTGCAAATTACCTTGTGTAAATTATTTCACTAGTGTTTTTCCTCGCTCCTCCTAAGTGTGTTGTAGTAAAACAACATTGCCATTAATCCCCCTAAAAGTGCCCCACCTCACTTTCATCTCCCATCATTCTTGGCAATTTCTCATTTGCTGTTTTATTTTTTTTTTTAATTTAAACATTCATCGTATTTTTTTTACAGGGTTTGGGAGAGATGCCATTAGATCCTCCTTCAGCAAAAGGAAGGCGATCTCATACTGGCAGTGTTGGAAGTACAAGATCATCATCTATTTCTAGAGATGGCTTCAATTCAGCTGAAAAGTAAGCTCCCTGATACTTCCCTGTGTTAGAGAAGAAACTCCTTACTTATAGATGTCTCCTCTAGATTCTTTCATGAACCACTCCAGGAGTATTTGTCAAAATTAGATGAGGTTCATGGCCCAGGGATGTGGCTCAGTGGTGCCTCGCCTACCTGGAAGCACAGGGTCCTAAGTTTGATCACCAGTACGGGGGGTGGGGGGGTAGATGACATTTATTTCTTTAGGACCTAGAAAGTGTGTCCTTAATGCCAACAACAAGAAAAAATGCTATTCTTAAGCATTTTCTAGGTATTTTTATATGTACAATTTTGTAATCTATTTAACCTGTTTACCAACTTTCATAAATGGATTATCTTACAGTACTTTAAGCATCTTCTAATGTATTATAACTTTATGGGTTTATTTTTAAATATACAGTATTTTTGGTGCCAGGAATCAAACTCGGGATCTTGCACTTGCAAGGCAGGTGACAGCACCACTGAGCTAAATCCTTGGCCCAATATACAGTATTTTAAACATTGTTTTAGAACTGTGAGAATAGATACATAAGTATCTTTCATATTTCCTTCATTTTTATATCTTTGAAATATTTTGTAAACTAAAATTTTATTAAAAAACTAAAATCGGGGGCTGAGCATGTAGCTCAATGGTAGGGCCTCTACTTAGTATCTATAAAGTTCTAGATTCTATTACTAACACTGTAATAAATAAACAGAGTAATCTGAGAATAGTAGCATACACCTGTAATCTAGCACTCAGGAGGCTGAGGCAGAAGGATCACCATAAGTTTGAGGACAGCCTGGGCCACATAGCAACACCCTGTCTCAAAAACAAAAAAATTAATAAACTAACTATAGGTCTAGAGATTTAGCTCAGTGGTTCCACCGCCTGCCTTGTAAGCGCAAGGACACAAACTTGAACCCTGGTACCAATAAATAAACAAACAAACTAACTAACTAACTATGCAAAATTACATGTATGCTCTGGTATTCAAAGTAGAGCCTACAGACTAGCCACATTGGAGCTTAGTAGAAATGCAAAATCTACTTCCTCCAGACTTACTGAATTAAAATCTGCCATTTTTTTCCACATTGAGAAATAATCATACAAGACCCTGAATCAGACATTTTGGTTCAACACTTTTTTTGTGCCCATCAAAAATGCTTTTTTGACTTTGAAAGCAAACCGTATGCTGGGCGTTTTCTAAATACTCAACTGCTCAGTTATTCATCTCATAGATGTATCTCCATTTGGTTTTATCTGATGTTTTGTCACAGATTCAGGCTAGAATTCCACGGAAGTGATACTGTGCCCTTTTCAGTGTACCATGTGCGTGATACATGGTACATTTTTTTGTGTGTTTTTACTTTTTGTAAGGTAGAACTTCAATGTTGCTCAGGCTGGCCCCAAACTCCTCAGCCCAAATGGTCCTCCTGCCTCAGTCTCCCATGCAGGACTACAGGCATTTGCTACCACACCTGGCTCATCCTTATTACTGATAATGTTAACCTTGATCATAGGTTAAGGTGGTTTCCTCACTGTAAAATAATTAGTTTCCCATTGTAATTAGTAGATATCTTAGGATAACTTAAAATTAGAAAAATATCCTATTTCTCATGACATATTTACCCATCAATATTAGCAACCATCGATAGATATCATCTGCAGCAAAAAGTTTGTGTGATTTTTTTTTTTTGCCTGAGTGATTCTTTCCTTCCTTCATTTATTTTAAATTAGTTGAATTTTTTTGTAAAGAAAAATTGACCCTTTCCTCTGTGTAATTTATTCAAATGTTTATGTTAATACAGGGTAATGGCTATCTATTTTATTTTTTTCTTATAATCTAATGCTATGATTATTCACTTCTTGAAATTATTTCATTTTAGGAGCTCCCTCAGGTTGACTGTTGTACTTTTTTGACACATCCTAGCCTTTTACAACATTTCCTTTATTCTACAAGATTTTCCTGGATTATCATGTATTTTCTTTTCTCCTGTCAAATCTTTATGCTTCTAATTTCATTTTACCTTGTTACCTCTGTGGTTGGAATAGGAAATACAGTGTTAAGTATACATAAGAACTGACATCTTTAACTTATTCCTATCTTATGGGAAAAGTGTTCAGTATTTCTGGGCATAGTGGTGCTTGCCTATGATCCCAGCAATCAGGAGGCTGAGGAGGAGGATTGCCACAAGTTCAAGGCCAGCTTGGACTACACAGCAAAACCCTGTTTCCAAATAAAAAAAACAGTTTGGTATTTCATACATGATATTAGTTATAAGTTTCATAAAACCCTTTCATTAGGTTGATGGACTTTTCTTCTATTCCTAGTGTGCAAGTTTTTGTCATGAATGGATGTTGAATTTTGTCAAGTGCTTCCTCGGCATCTATTAAGATATTCCTGTACTTTTCTTTGTTTATTCTATTAATATTGTAAATTTGATTTCCTCTTTGAAGGTTTAAACAAGATAACTTAATAGGTCTAGGTGTGGTGATGCACACTTGTAATCCATAGTGCTCAGGTAGTTGAGGCAGGAGAATCACAAGTTTGAGGCCAGCCTGGCCAATTTAGTGAGGCTCTGTCTCAAAAAATAAAAAGTGTTAGCGTTAGAAGAGGAAATGGGAGGGGAAGGTGAAAGGAAAGAAGGGAATGGAATTAACATGAGAAAATGAAAAAATGGAAACAAAGTCTCTGTAAATAGAGATGGGTGGAGGGGTTGAAGGCAAGGGAATAGGGAGAAATAAGAATCAAGATACATCATGTAAAGGTACAAATCTCTAATAATGAGTGTCATTATATTGTATACCTAAAATGTACCAAACTAATTTTTAAAAATAAAAAATAAAAAGGGCTGGGGAGGTAGCTCAGTTGTTGGGTAATTGCCTAGCATGCAAGAGGCCTTGAGTTCAATCTTAAATTTCCAAAAGGAAATAAAAAGATGATTTGTATGCCATAGATTAATCCCACTTGAGCATGATCATGTGTTATATCACTGAATTTGTTTTGCTAAAACTATCTGAATATTTCTTGTGTCTGTATTCATAGACCATAGTTTTCTTGTCTTGGAATATCTTTAGATTTGGTACTTGGATAAAACTAATACTCGGGATTTCTTCTTTAATACAGGGATGTTTAGAAGTATGCTTTATTTCAAAATATTTGGAAATTTTCCAAAAATATTTTTGTTAATGATTTTGATTTTAGTTATGTTGTTTCACTGAAAGTATTTGTGGTAATTTCCAGGTTATTTGTTTTTTGGCTTGTTTTCTTTTGTTTCTGATGCCGAGGATTGAACCTGGGGCCTAGCACATGATAGGCAAGTATCCTACAACTGAGCTATACCCTCAGCCCTATTTCAGGGCTTTTATAAGGTGTCCAGTCTTGTTTTATGATCCAGCTTGTGTTTTTTCTTAGTGACTACTTTATATCTGCTTTTTGTGTGTGCGTGAGAGACAGGGTCTCACTATGTAGTTCAGCCTGGCCTTGATCTCACTATGCAGCCCAAGCAGGCCTCAAATTCATAACAATCCTCCTGCCTTAGCCTTCTGAGATCTGGAATTGCAGGCCTGTGCCACCAACCCAGCTCTTTTATATCTGCTTTGACAGATGTGTATTCTGTGTATTCTGTGTATTCTGCTTTCTATAAAATACCCAGATAAATTGTGTTACTCAAGTCTCTTCTATCTATATCCTTGCTGATTTTCTGTTTTTCCTGTCAGGTGATGAAGTAGGGAGTACTGACATCCCCAACTCTTTTTGTGAATTTGTCCAGTTATACTTCCTGATTTATCATTTTTACTTCATACACTTTGATGGGATGTGATTAGGTTCAGATACATACAGGATGGTTATGACTTTCTGAGCAGTGCATCTTTTTGTCCTCGTGAAGTATCTCTACCTCTGGTAATATTCCTTGTCCTGAGGTCTACTTTGTCTGATATGAATCATTTCTTTGCATGTTGTATCTTTTTTTTTAATTACAGTGTTTTGGAGATGTAAATCACATACCATATAATAATTCAGCTGTTTTCTTGTTTGTTTGTTTTTTGTTTTTGCGGTAATGGGGATTGAACTCAGGACCTTGCACTTGCAAGGCAGGCGGTGGCACCACTGAACTAAATCCCCAGCCCAAATTCAACTGTTTAAAGGATGCAATTCGTTTCTTTTTCCTTTTGTTTGTGTTGTTTTATGGCACCTGGGATTGAGTGCAGGGCGTTTGGTGTGCTGGCCAAGCACTCTTATCACTGAGCTACACAACTAGGCCTCAGTGTCTTTAATATAGTCAACAAGTTGTGCAATGATTCTCACAATTTTAGAATATTTTCATCACTGCCCCAACAAAACTCACATTTAGCAGCTACTCCTCATTTCCATGCTGTCTTGAACCAAAACAGCCGTCTTTCAGGATGGCTTCTTGAGTTGTTTTTCTGTTTTACTCTTTTCATTTATTTTTCTTTTCCTTGTCATTGTTTGACAGTTTTTATTTGGTTTCCTCTATACTGGGATCCATGCACCTCTCTCCCTGCTGATTCTGCTTGTTCTCCTCCTACCACATTAAGCCTTAGTCATTAGTAAAACTATATACTGCTACCCTTGAGTACACCCAGCAAATCACCAAACCTGTGATAGAACACAAGGGCCTACAAAACAGATTTTATGAGTGTGGGCTAGATAATTTTGTGAAAAATGAATTTATAATTAAATTTTTATTATATTTGTGGGAGGTTTTGGTACCAGGGTTCAAACTCAGGACTTTGTGCTTGCAAGGCAGGTATAGAGCCACTGAGCTAAATCCTCGACCCCATTTTTGTGGTTTTTATAGAAAATAAAAATGAAATTAAATTTACCTTTCTTTCACTTTAGAGAGGCAACTGAAGTTCGTGAGGTCGCCAGAAAATCAGTTCCTCGTAATTCCTTAGAAAGTGCAGAATACATTAAAGTCATAACAGGTTTATTAAATGCAAAAGATTTTCGTGATCGTATTAGTGGAATTAAGCAACTTTTATCAGATGCTGAAAATAATCAAGAGCTTATTATTGGAAACATTGTGAAGGTAAGAGCCGCTCAAAAAATAATTTTCAGGGCTGGGGATGTAGCTTAGTGGGTGACATTCCTACCTGGCAAGCACAAGGTCCTGAGTTCGATTCCTGGTATCAGGAAAAAATAATAATGATAATTTTCAAGGGCCAGGTGTGGTGGTACATGACTGTAATCTCAGCACTCAGAAGGCTGAGGCAGGAGATTGCTGCAAGTTCAAGGCCACCCTGAACTACATAGTGAGACCTTGTCTCAAAAATAACAATAGTAATAATTTTCATTTGAGATCTGTGGCTAAGAAAAAAGGTATTAGTATAAAAAGTTATCCTAAGTTTTATATGTATTACTTTAAACTTTTAAAGTAAGTTTATTGAAAAGAATGGATTGCCCATGTTTCACTGTTCTATAAACATGCTGAACAACTCAGAGTAAATAGAAAAAGCAAATGAGAAAATAGTCAAGTGCTTATGTGAACCCTCCTATAAGATAGGAGTTCCTTGGAAGCTCTGTACTACTGTATTCTCAGAACTCTCAGACCTGGCGTTAGGTACGTGTTTGTGAAGTGGGTCAGTAGATAGATTTAAGAAATTTGATACTGTTTTAGAGTAGATATCAAAACTTTTCATATGTAGATGAGAAATCTCTATATAACCATGCATGTACCTAACATTAAGAAAACAAGTAAACGAAATTGAAATATTAATGCATTTATTTATGTTACCAAGCATAGATATTTATGCTTCATCAGAATTTAGTTAGTTCTTAGTAATTTATTAACTAAATACCATTTTAAATTGGCATAGTGTGCATTCAACATGGCAGCCTATACTGCAGCTGCCTTTTTTCTTTTGTTTTGTTTTATTTTGGGTTTTTTTCCCTGTTAAGTTTATTGGTACATTTAAAGCAAACAATAAAGTTACATTCATCATTGGGATCTTGTACCTTATGTGAGATATCTTGGTTCTTATTTTTTCCCTATACCGCTACCTTTTAATTCTAGTGAGTCAGAAAGTTACATATCCTGATATTATTTAATAAAAATATGTCTCTTGGTTTGAGTATTCTGAACATGAAAAATTAAAAATGAATAAATTATCAGGACTTACTAATGGCCTTGGCCTCATAAAGTACTCTTTGTTCACCTCATATGCTTAAAGAGTTATTTAGCATTCACATTATTATGTCTTGCATTTATGAAAGATAAGAGTTCTGAAGAGCAAGGAGTAATTATTAATGTGATCAGATTAAGATTAAGAAATAATAATAAAAATTTTACTCTGAGAGGCTAGAGATACAACTAAATGGTAGTCCCTTGGCCTAGCATGTGTGGGGCCCTGGTTCAATCCTTAGCTCTGCCAAAAAAGTGAGATTGCATTTATAAATCTCTTAACAAATCTCAATTGAAACTGGATTAAACCTCTACAGTAAAATTTATGTGTACAATTGTCATGAATAGAGATTGAGATTGAAATTGAAGTTCTTAGAGTTGGCTTAGGAAACCTGCTCCTTCCGGGAAGTAGCTTGTATATTATATTTACAGTGTCAATCATTTACCTATTAACCCACATTTATAACCTTGATTTATTAGGATGTCTTTTGGGGTGATTTCTTTTTTTTTTTGGTACCGGGGATTGAACTCAGGTCCTTGCGCTTGCAAGGCAGGCCACTGAACCGCTCAGCTAAATTCCTGGCTTGGGGTGATTTCTTGAAGCCCTGTCTTTTTGCTGTAAGATTGTTTAACACTTGAATTTAGCATCCAAATTTTTATAAAGTTCCAAATGTCTAAGTTCAGGTTAAATTCAGGATTTTGGGTGTGTGTGCTTTAACAGAGTAAAATAGAAATACCTTGAAATGCCAAGAAACTTTAAATATAGTAGCTTTAAACATTATTTTACTTTAAATACATTACCAATTTATTTTCAGATCTTTGATGCTTTTAAATCTCGACTTCATGATTCCAACAGTAAAGTAAATCTGGTGGCTCTAGAATCAATGCACAAAATGATTCCTTTACTTAGAGACAACTTGTCTCCTATAATCAACATGCTGATTCCAGCAATAGTGGATAACAATCTGAATTCCAAGAATCCAGGCATCTATGCTGCAGCTACAAATGTTGTCCACGCTCTGAGTCAGCATGTAGGTAAGAAATCCTACTTTAATATTCAAATTATTTTTTACTTTATAATTTCTGGTCCTACATATGTTTTATAACGCTAAAATCCTAGTTACTTAATGCCTGGTGTGGCGGTGCATGCCTGTAATCCCAGCACTCCGGAGGCTAAGGCAGGAGGATCGCTTTGAGTTCGAGACCAGCTTGGGCTACATAGTGAGTTTCAGGTCAGTCTCAACTACACAGTGAGACCCTGTCTCAAAAAACCAAAATAAATAAATAAATAAAAATAAAAATAAAATCCTAGTTACTTATTTTTTTCATTTAATAGTGTCTTTATTTCCATTTATGAATTTTTAAAGTGATACATCTCTGTTTATGCTTTTTTGTTACTGTAATGAAATACCTAAGGCTGGGTAACTTATAAAGAGAAGTTGGGCCTGAGGTGTTGCACAGTGATAGAGCACTTGTCTAGCGTGTCCAAGGCCTTGGGTCCAGCCCCAAGTCATCCTTTTACCCCCAAAAAAGGTTCACTTAGCTGAGAGTTTTAGGGGCCGACAGTCCAGATAGTGTGGTACTAGATCTGGTGAGGGTCCCCCTTGGTATCTTATGTGACACGTGGCATCATGGCAGGATTCCATGAGAGAGAGAGAAACTCCGTAATGAGACAGGAAGCCAGAGAGACCCAGGAAGGCCAGTACAGTCTCCCACTAGGCCTTGCTTTTTAAAGGTCCTACCACCTCTTAACATCACACTGGGGATCAATTTTGAACACTTGTATTGCTGGGGGACACAGTCAGACCATAGCATTCCCATACCATGATACTGCTGAGCAATGAAAAGGAACAAACTGTGGATATATTCCAATCACTGCATGCATCTGAGAAGCTTTAAATCAGTGGGGGAAAAAAGGTAATATGAAAAGGTCACATCCTGTAGGATTCCATTTTTATAACATTCTCAAAAATACAAAGGACCTTGACTTATGAATTCAATCAGTTCCCCATGGGCTGGTTGTAACTCAAGTTGTTCGTAACTCAATACAGTTGAGATCTGGATATTTACCTGGGTACATGCCATAGATAACAAGAGGCAGATGAATCTTCCATTAACCTAATCAACCCAAGTTGTTCATATGTCAGGCTGGTCATAAACTTGAGGGTCCACCGTAACAGAATTACCAAGATAGTAAACATTATTGGCTGTCAGGGTTTCAGGCTTGTAGGAAGGTAAGAATGGATATTTTTATAATTTTGATCTTAAATGTCCCCCAAAGGCTTGTGTGTTAAAGGTTTATCCCCCACACACACCCTTGACACTCTTGGGAGGGGGTGGTACCCCTAGGAGGAAGGATCTAATAGCAGGAAGTTAGGTCATTAGGGGGGTGTGTCTTTGAAGAGACTATTAGGACTTTGTCCCCTCCTGTCTTGTCTTTGCTTCCTGGCTATCATAAGGTGAGCAGTTTTCCTCCATCACACACACCCTCCATAATGTGCTGTGCTGTCACAGTTCCAAGCAATAGGACCAAGCAACCATGCACTGAAATTTGAGAAACAGCCAAAATAAACCTTTCCTTGAGTTGATTCTCTAAAGTGTTTTGTCACAGCAACAGAAAGCTGACCAGCACAGGTATCACTATGAAGAGGTAGCATTAGGGAGATCTTTATGGGGAGGCAGTAGTTCTGTGTGTTCATTGCAGTGATGGTTGCACAGATCTATGTCTGTGATAAAATGAGGTAGAACTGTATATCCATTCCCTTTGTTTTGATATTGTACTGTAGTTTTGTAAGACATAACCTTTGGGTGAAAGGGACATGGGACCTCTCTATTATCTGTACAACTTCCTGTGAATATATTATGAAAAATGAAAGGTTTAAACAATAAGTAAAAATAACTCAGGCACAGTGGCATACACCTGTAATCCCAACATGGAGGAAGGCCATGGTAAAAGATCACAAGTTCAAGTCCCACCTCAGTAACTTAGCAAGACCCTATTTTTAAAAAAAGTTGGGGGTGCTAGTTATGTTCCTCAGTGCAAAGGCCCTGGATCTAATCCCCAGTACTGGGGAAAAAAGCAAAAATTGGTAAAGGTAAAAATCACTCCCAGAAAAGCAATTTTTTTTTTTTTAGTAAACTCATAGTATTTGGAATAACATACTTATAGAAGATAAGGCAGTTCATTTTCAGATCACATGATAGTTCCTTGAATGCTAGGTGAGATAGCTATTTCATGCATATCCTTTGTTTAAATATTGTACTGTAGTAATGTAAGACATAACCCTATTTGCTGTAAGCATGTTACTCTTAAGATTGTAAAGAATTTTAAATAGTGATTACCATAGATTCTGTAAAGTTAACACATTCTAGAAGTTACTTTTTTCCTTGCCATGCTGTGTAATAGAAAATAGATTGCATTACTTTTAAACATGTGTCTGTGTTTTTGTTTAGACAATTACTTGCTTCTACAGCCATTTTGCACCAAAGCTCAATTTTTAAATGGAAAAGCAAAACAAGATATGACAGAAAAGCTTGCTGGTAAATACTTTTAAATTGTAATTTCTAAAGAAGTATCTTATTAACTAAGGAAAAACTAATGAGTATGTTAATTTCAGGAGAGCTCTCAATTCAATATCATTACTTATGAAGCATAAAAAGGTTATACAAGGATCCACAGGAGGACTTTTTAAGATTTTTATACCAAGCCAGGCATGGTTGTGCATACTTGTAATCCCAGCACTCTCAGAGGCTGAGGAAGGAGGATGGCACAATCCAGCATAGCCTGGGTAATTGAGCAAAGCCTTGTCTCAAAACAAAATAAGAAAAGGGGGTACAGATGTAGTTTTGTATAACTATCCTGGGTGCAGTATCCAGTCCAGGAAAGAAGGAAAAAAGACTTTACTCCAGTAATGTTCTGCAAAGGAATTCTAGAGTGGGAGAGTATAACTCAGCAGAGCTCTTGCCTGACATACACAAGACCCCCAACATTACAAAAATCAAAAACTCTCCTTTTTAATCTTCATATTGGAAAAATAATATATGAAGACATTAAAATCAAACATTGATAGGGCCAGGGTTTGGCTCAGTGGTTTCACTGCCTGCTTCACAAGTACAAGGGCCCAAGTTCGATTCCTGGTATCCTCCCCCACCAAAAATCAAACATTGATAGTCAGGATTTGGCTCAGTGCTTCCACTGCCTGCCTCGCAAGCGCAAGGGCCTGAGTTCAATTCCCAGTATCCCTCCCCACCAAAATTGATGATTATAGCAAAATGCTATTCTGAATTTTTTTGATAAGTACATTTGGAAAACATTGAGATTAATTTTGAGTTCATTGTCTCTCTCTACTACTTTTGCCTGAACTAATTACCATATATAGAATTCTAATACTTGGTGATCTCTGTCTTTGGGGGCAAGTTTCTTTTAAAAGCCTAACTTTTTAGAACAACTGGCAAAGGGAAGAAGCTTGATAGTTTTAGATGCTTTAAAATTGTCAGGCCTTGAAATTCTTTTAAAGAAACCCACATTCTTTACTGTATTTTGTGTTTCAGATATTGTTATGGAACTGTATCAGAGGAAGCCTCATGCTACAGAACAGAAAGTGCTGGTTGTTTTATGGCACCTCTTAGGGAACATGACACACAGTGGCTCTCTGCCTGGAGCTGGGGGAAATATCCGCACGGCCACAGCTAAGTTATCAAAAGCTCTTTTTGCACAGATGGGTCAGAATCTTTTAAATCAGGCTGCATCTCAGCCACCACATATCAAAAAGAACTTAGAGGAATTGCTTGATGTAACAGTTTTAAATGAATTATGAATCTGTTATGAAATATGGCATGATGAATGAGACAGTTTATATGATGACAAATGAAAGTTTTTTAAAGCTACATTTTGAGTGCCTGCACTTCACATCTAGGAAATTAAGTCAGTGGCTATTTTATTGGCAGCCTATGAATACACATTGGTCCTCTCTCAACCCTAGCACTACACCCACACATGTAACCGAATATTTGTGAAATCTGAAGCACGTGGACTGAATCCTACTTTAATATTTTTGAGCAAAGTTCTGCTCATTTTCACTATTCCATAGAAACTGCAGCTTGTTGTCCTTTATGTACAATTAGATTTGTAATTAAAAATATACTTTTTATTATGTAATCATGTTTTGGTATGTCTTATTATTCAGCCTTGTTTTGTGAAGTGGAAGACAAGTCACTGAACTATGTTATCACAAACTAAATTTTATGTGCTATTTGTGAAAAACATGTATTTCTGAATCAGTCTGCTAATATGATTATGCAGTATTAGCTTGCTATTGCTGCTGTGTTAATGTGATATGTTTGCTTACCTTTTGGGTTTAATTTCCTGCATAATTGTGAAATTTAACAAGATATAATAAAGCATGATGACCAAAGTTTTAGAATACAGTAAACATTTAAATGCACGTTTAAGAAAACGTGTAGAATGTAACTTCCCTATTTTTGTGTGCAAACACTAAATTTTTATTTCTGTATGTCCTGACATTTATAAAGGTGTTATTTTGCTGCCCACTTGTGTAATTCTCAAAGATAGTGCCAGGTCTTCTATAGTTTTTCTCAGAATTCTTGGGCTTACAAGTACTGTATGCATCTTTAAAAAAAAGAAAAGGAATGTTATAAAATAAAAGGATTTATTTCTGTAGATGTGTGACAGATGTCCTATTTTTCCAACTTCCATATATGTTAAAATGGAAAAAAATACTGTAACATTGACCTATCACTTTGGGGAGGGGTCCCGGGGATCGAACTCAGGATCTTGCACTTGAGAGGTAGGCAGCAGAGCCATTAAGCTAAAATCCCTGGCCCAGCCTATCACTTTCCTTTGGTTTACTGGATGTGATCCTGACTGATCACTGTAAACAGTAGACCTGGTTTATCATTCCAACTCTACATAAAATGAGCTCTGTGACCTGGGGCAAGTCATTTTCATTTCTTGTGTTATTGAGCTCTTTTACTTTAGAATCTGTTTGGTTGCTTTTGAGGCAATTGGGATAGTGCTGGAGAAAGAACTCAGGGCCTTGTAAATGCTAAGCACATATTCTACCTTTGATCTACACCACCATCCTTTATTTGGCTGCTTTTAAATTTTTGATTTTTTTTTTTTTTGGTAATTATTCACAACTTCTGAGAGAAAAAAAAGTAAGTTTTGCTACCACATATTTGAAGCTAAGCTGAAACATCTGACTACCTTTTCTGTTTATATGAACTATACACACATACTTCTAAAATGCCTTTATGCCAGGTGTGGTAGCACACACCTATAATCCCAGCACTTTAGAGGCTGAGGCAGGAGGAGGATCACCATGAGTTCAAGGCCAGCCTGAACTACATAGTGAGACCCTGTCTCAAAAACACCAGGCATGGGCGGGGGTTTAGCTCAGTGGTTCTGCCGCCTGCATCGCAAGTGGGAGGACCCAAATTCGATCCCTCCGTCCAAAAAAAAAAGGAAAAACACTGGGGCTGGGGATTTAGCTCAGTGGCACCATACCTGCCTCACAAGTGCAAGGTTCTGAGTACAATCCCCAATACCAGGGAAAAAAATAACTCCAGGCAGGCATGGTGGCACATGCCTGTAATCTGGAAGGCTGAGGCAAGAGAATTGCTGCGTGTTTGAGCCTGGGCAACATAGTGAGTTCAAGGTCAGCCTGAATTACAGTGAGACCCCTTCTCAAAAAACCTAAAAACAAAAGAAATAAAAACAAAATGCCTTGTATTCTAAGTGTACTTTATCCTGTAGTTTAAATAGAACCAACTATAATCCTGTGGTTTAGATCTCCAGTTGGCAAGCTTTTCTATGTAGGGGCAGAATCTAAATATTTTTAGTTTTGTAAGCCACAGGGAGTCTATGTCATATTCAGAGGTTTTTACCCCTTTTAAAATAAGTCAAGCATGGTGGGGCATGCCTACAACCCTAGCTACTTGGTGGGCTGAGGCAGGAAGATTGCAAGTTTAGGGCTAGCCTGAGCAACTTAGATCCTGTCCCAAGGATGGATTCTCAGTGGCGGACTGCTATTAGCTGTTGCTCTGGAAAAGAGGATTCATCTGATGGAATCCCTTGAAAACAGTGGGCACCATGTTAAACCATTTGTCATGACTGTGTGATAAATGGAAATCACTGAAAAAACAAAGGTGCTGCTCACTGAGAGTAATCAGAACAGGGCCAGGGTTTTTAGCTCAGTGGTTCCACCACCTGCCTCACAAGCACAAGGACCTGAGTTCGATCTCCGGTACAAAAAAAAATTCAGAACAGGTCTTAGGTTCGGTGAAAATGCTTAGAAGCAACATCCATTAAGGTCGTAAGATTGAGCAGCTTGATCACTTTGTTAGAAAAAAAATACTGTTTCAATTGTGACCATTAATTTTAAAGCAAAGTTTGTATTCAAACATGAAAGAAATGATTACTGAAAATAAAATAAATGAAAATATCACTGAAAAGATGTAAAAACAAAAAGTCCTAGTTCAGGCCACACAAAAACAGGCATCTACCATTGTTTCCTTTTTTTTTTGGTAGTGGAAATCAAACTCAGGAGCGCGTGCTTGCCAGGCAGGCAGGGCACTGCTAAGCTGAACCCTAGCCCCAATCTAGCATCCTTTCCCAACACTGGGTGTAGACTTTTTAAATCTCAGTTTTAACTATGAAATCATCATCAGGTTTCGGTTCAACTTTGTTTTGATATGCCTCATTGGAACAGTGGGTACAAATTCCAACTTTTACTAATTATGACCGCTTTTTTGTTGTTGTGTTTTTTTGTTTCATTTTGTTTTGTTTTCTTCAGAAGTACTGAGGGTCCAGGGATTTAGCTCAGTGGTGCTGCTGCCTGCCTCTCAAGCGCAAGGTCCAGTTTGTCCCTGCTATTAAAAAAAGTTGTACTTGTGCTAGCTAAATTTGGTTGGTTGCTGGGAAAATTTTAAATTTTAAAGGTAAAGCCGTTATGTATAAGCTTAAGTATTCCTTATTTGGAATAGAGGTAGGTTTAATTTTAATTTGAAAAAAAAGTAAATATAATCACTTCTAACTGGAAATTTTTCTTCCTATTACCTGTGTGCTACCTTTTATTATAAAGAAAATAGTGTTTAATATAGCAGAATCCTAAGCTTAAAGATTTATTTTTTTATATTTGCTAACTGACATCAGGCAGTAAGAAGTCTTAACTTTTCTGGGCAGAGCCAATAGTTAAGCAGAATCTTTTTTTTTTTTTTTTTTTTTTTTTTTTTAAAAAAAAAATATTTTTTTTTTGAGACAGGGTCTCACTATGTAGTTGAGACTGACCTGGAAGTCACTATGTAGCCCAGGCTGGTCTCGAACTCACAGCGATCCTCCTGCCTAAGCCTCCCAGAGTGCTGGGATTACAGGCATGCGCCACTATGCCTGGCCGAGATAAGCAGAATCTTAAAGGCATTAAAGTAAGCTGGAGGTTTCACAAAGTTTCCTTTCTTAAAAATGGTTAATGATACATGCTTGAAATTAATTCTGGAAATAGGAAGCAGTGTTTTCAAGGGCAGAGGTGATGTATTTTTAAAAATCAGAACTTTAGATGAGCTCAGTGGTAGAGCGCGCTTATCCTAGCATGTGTGATGCACTGGGTTCAGTCCCTGTAGGGACGTGTGTGTGTGTGTGTGTGTGTGTGTGTGTGGTAGAATGGCTGTATGTAGCAATGGCTGTATGTAGCAATGGCTGTATGTAGCAAATGGATTCATCAAATGTGCCAGCCTGCTAGATTGATAGCGTCTCCTGGTGTAATGTGTTGAAAAGATTATGAGGTTATGTAAAGTGAAGGCAGTCTCTACACAGAGGCCTAAACTACAAGAAGCTGTAAGAATTGAAAGTTTCAGGCTGGGGATTTAACTCAGTGGTGCTGTGCTTGCCTGGCAAGCGCAAGGTCCTGAGTTTGATTCCCAGCACAAAAAAAAGAAAGCTTGGATCTGAGAAGTAGTCTGATGGCAAGACTGACTGAATTGGTAAGATAATTAGATATAAAGGATAAAGGATCAAATGTTATTAAAGTTTCTAACACTAATGACTGCTTGGTGTTGGTGTGATTAAAATGGAGAACACTGGAGAAGTAGGTTGTGGGAAAAAGATGAATATAATGAGTTTAAGGTATAAAGGAATTCTGAAGGCAGTTCAAGTTGCAGATTTATGTTTTTTAACTCTAGGGCCAAGTTAATAATTATTTTTTAAATGCAACTTGTGTGGGCAAAAAGCAGTTTTTATTGTATGTATTTATGGAGTACAATGTGATGCTTTTTTATATGTAAACGGATGATTAAATCAAGCTAATTAACATCAGTACTTCACACTTCTTTTTTGTGATAACATTTTAAATCTGTTATTATTTGCAAATATACATTATTATTAACATGCTATACAACAGATTTACAAAACTTACTCCTTCTGAATGAAACTTCTAAGTCAACATTTTTAGATTCCACATATAGGTGAGATCATGTACTATTTGTCTTTCTGTTCCTTGTTTATTTCACATGTCATAATGCCCTCCAGGTTTATCCATGTTGCTGTAAGTGGTGAAATGTCCTTTTTTTTTTGGCTGAAGCATATTGTGTTCCACAGGGGGAGGCAGGGAGAGAGAATGGGAGAAGGGAGAGATTCTCTGAATATATATACCAAGTAGTGGAACTGCTGAATCATATAGTGGCTCTGTTTTTGTTTTTTGAGACAGGGTCTCACTGTGTAGCCCAGGCTGGTCACAGCAATCCTTCTGCCTCAGCCTCCCGAGTGCTGGGATTACAGGTGTGTGCCACCACACCCGGCTCTAGGTTTTTACTTTTATTTATTTTTTTTCTTTCGAGAAGATCTTTTATTTATTTATTTATTTACTTTTGGTACTGGGGATCGAACTTGGATCCTTGCGCTTGCAAGGCAGGTGGTGGAACCACTGAGCTAAATCCCTGGCACTTAGCAGTTTATTTTTTTATTTTATTTTTTTTTTCTTTTTATTGAGTTTATTGGTACAATCTAGGTATACAATACAGTTACATTCATTATTGGGATTCTATACCTTTACATAATAGGTCTTAATTCTCATTTTTTTCCCCTTGTCCCTGCCCTCCCTTCACCCCCTTCTCCCCTCCCCATTTACAAACACTTTATTTCCATTTTTTTAGTTTCTCATATTTTTTTTCCTCTCTCTTATTACCTTTCCCCCACCCTTCCCAATTTCCCTACACCTTTAGCCCTTTACTTCCTATTTCACATTATTAATTATCTCATTAGGATCCTGTTAGTGTTTTATGAGAAACTTCCATAATGTTACCATAGTGGAAGCACTAATAGTGTACAACGTTTCCTCTTCTCTACATCCTTGCCGATACTTATCTTTTGTCTTTTTGGAAGAGTTGACGTGATATCTCATGCTTTGATTTCCATTTGCCTGATGAGTAGTGATGTCGAACATTTTTTCACAGACCAATTGGCCAATATTTTGATAACTGTTTACCTAGGCACTTTACCTATTTTTTTTCCCTTTACCTAATTTTTAATTGGGCTGTTTTCTTGCTATTTAGTTGAGTTTGTTATGTAGTTTGGATATGAACTCCTTATCAGAACTATGGCTTGAAATAGTTCCATTCTGTAGATTGTCTCTTTGCTCTGTTAATTATTTTCCTTCTATATTTAGAAGCTTTTTAGTTTGATGCCCATTTATCTTTTTTGTTTTGTTTTGTTTTTTGCTGCCTGTACTTTTGGAATGGTATAAAAAAAAATCTTTCTCTAAAAAGACTTTTCC